GGACCGTCCCCAGCCCTTTCCTTTCGCAGGCCCAGCGTGTGCGCCGGCCTTGCCCTGGGACAAGACGGGCTCGGGCACGGGTCTCTGGCTCCCCCGCCCGGCTGGCAGCGCTCTGAGGGCAGGGCTGGCCCCTCCTGGCCCCCGCGCTGCAGCCGCATTCTGCGTGGGCATGGGCTCAGGGTCCCGTGCTCAGCCCAGGCTGGCACTTGACCCTTTAAGAAGAAGAATCTCTTGCGTCTCTAATACACCGGATGGCAGGGTGGGCTCTGAGCGGATTTGTGGGCCCGTCTCCTGCCCGCACCAATCCTCCTTTCTGGGCTGCTGCACTCATGTGACAGCCAGTCTGGGACACCAGGGAGCCCTCGGGACCACGTGCTTCCAGCGAATAGCTGGTCACTGACCGCCTAATTCTACCTCTCCTGGGTGGCTGTGGAAATCAGAAATCTCCGAGGGCAGAAGTGATTTAGAGCAATTACCCTGTCCTCCGGGCCAACCTGTAAGTCAAGCATGTCAGCACGAGTGTCCACGTGTGTGCATTCTCACACAGACACGCATGCACTTGTCGGGGAGAGGAGGCGGCCAGGTTCTGGGCTGGGCACTCTGCAAACACTTCTTAGTCCTCACAGCAGCCTTGTAGGAATCATTAGCCCCATCTGCAGATGAGGAAACTGAGGCTCGGAGAAGGTAGGGGCTAAGCTGAGATCTCCTCTACACAGCTATTACGTGTGGAATCAGAATTCAAAGCCAGGCCCTTTGCACACACACATGCACACATATCTTCACATACACAGTCGGACACATACATGCAAGTGCACACACCTTTCACACTCTTGCGCTCAACCCCTACTCAGGGTCACTGAATATCAAAACTAGAAGGGGACTTAGATCATCCTGTCTATGCCATTCCATTTTACGAGAGGGGGAGGGGATTTACGTTTTCAAGGCATTTAGGAAGTGGCAAAACCAGAACTAAAATTCACATTTGTTGTCACACAGTCACGTGAATACACACCACACAACGTACCCAAAGGCTCCAGCACAAAACCCACGAATGCACCAGAGTTGGTCGCACCTCGCACAGACCCTTACTGGGTTTGCATGCTTGACACATGCCATTGCACACACCCACTCATCACACAGACACGCACACGATCATACAGTTGCACACGGTGCACATTCATGTGTGCTCATTCACACACGATCTTCACACTCATGTATCTACTCACACATACACACGCATCCATGTCCTCTCACTCGCACACTCATTGTGCCCACCCTCCTGACGCAGGAGACGGAAGTTGACCCTGACGGATCTGTTAGAGAACTCTGACGGCAGGCTGGGCGCTGGGGCGGGAGCTACACACTGAGCGTGACTTTGTGTGGGTGCACCCTGGCACTACCACGGGCAGCCCTGGGAAGTGTGCTCTGCCCGCAGTTCCCTACAGGCCCAGGCAACTCGCCTTGGCCAAACCTAGCAGGTATGTAAAAGTGCTGACTCATAAGCCAGGAGTGGCCAGGCCAGGCTGGTGGCAGGGCTGGTCCTGGCTTGCGAGCTATTTGTCTTCTGCCTGGATCTGCATCGTGGACTCGCCTTCCTCAAAGGGCCAGACCCTGAGTCATGAGACCTCTTCCTACAGCCACTGAAGATGAGGCTCGAGGTGCCAGGATGTGGGAGCAAAGCAACCAGAGCCGCCAATGGGATTTACCAAAGTTGGTGAGCCAGCTAACTAGGGCTTCCTAGTGACACTTTGAGATGGGCTATTTAAGCCACTGAAGTCTTTCTCGGTGCCTGAAATGTTATGTAGCAAATACAAATGAATCTCAAAACCCAGCCCATGAACAGTGCCTGCCGTCAAAGTTCTCTAACAGATGCTCTAAGCCGGACAGTCCAGACACACGGACAGATAATTACACTGCAGGGCCTGGGGGCTTGAACACAGAGACAGAGGGAGCAGGAGCACAGGGCAGGGAGCAGCCCAGCTGGGCCAGAGGTGAGGCCACGTGTCCTGGGTACTGAGTGGGGAGTCGGAGTTCACCAAGAAGCTTTCCAGAGCGAAAACCGTGTTTCAGGGAACAGGGACCAGCATAAGTGTGGGTTGAAGCAGAGGAGTGGAAGGGGGCTGGAGGTACAGGAAATGAGGCCAATTGGAGCCAGCCATTAAACAAACTTCTGCCAGGTACTTACTGTGAGCTAGGTTATGACACATGAAATATACAAACCTGGCTCTCAAAGAGCTCAGGCTCAGATGTAAGTTCTTCCAGGTGGTAAGCAGGTGATACAGCGAGTGGACCAGGAGGGTGGGAGCCATGGGGCGTGGCAGGGCTGGGTCTAATGAGAGCCCGTGCCCTGTCTAAGCATTATTGCTCAAGAATACTTGTCAATCCTCTAAGAGCCAAAAAAAAACAAAAACCGATATGATATGTGGGCTGGGTTCCAATGATAGACCCTCAATCTGCAACCCTTGGTTCAAGTCTCCAGAACGTAGACCCTAGAATTTGGAGGAAGCCTTTGTGGAGCTAAGGAGGTTGAGCCTGGCCATATAGCTGGGCCTAAGACCCTGGGGAGGTTCTTGCCCTGGAAGGACACTTGTCGCAGGAGCCTCCAGGGGAAGGCTCTCACACTGCGACCTTTGGACGTGACAGGGCTGCATGTGTCATCCAAGACCCGAAAGATAAGGGCAACGCTCTGCTTTGTCCCAGCGTAACCGCTTCCTGGCAAGGGCCTCTCTGTCCTCACCTGAATCTTCGTCCTCACCCCTTCTCCTGCCCAAGACCAGGACCCCGCCTTTTTCTAGCCACCACTTGCATAAAAAACTGATTAGATTGGGTCCCTTATATTTCTCTCTTTGGCCCAAGGCCTCCGCCACACACACACACACACACACACACACACACACACACACACACTCCTCTGTAAGGTGAGGGGCTTGGATCCGTTGATGGAAGGATGATTCTCCCATGTTCCATCTCATGGTGATTGCGGAACAGCCTCAGAGATGAAGATGTCTGACTTGGTGTCCTGGTTCCTCTGAAGTCCCTGGGGCACCTGGAGGGGAGACAGGTGTCCAGGCGGGAGTGGAGAACCCTGGGGTCCGGATGGAGCTTTCCCATTGCCCCGGGAGGGAACATGGCCGGGCAACCCGTCCAGCCTCCCCTCTGCCCAGCGCATACACAGACCCCAGCGCTTGGCTGTGGAGCCCAGGAGCTGCTTGGGCACAAACTGGCACCCCTCCCACCCCCAACAGCCACAGCCTCTCTCCTGGACCCTCATTAAATCATTCCGCCCACTGGCTCCAGGCTCGGGCTGCCTTTGATGTGTGTCCATCCAGCTTCTGGGCCAAGACCAGGCCCCTCACACTAGGCAGGGCTAATGGGCTCTGACAGCTTCCCTGGGGCCCCACGGTGGTAGGGACACCAAGGCCCACACTCACACCAGCAGGACACATGCTCAGGCCCGTGAACAGCCAGAGTCCCATACTTACATACAGTGTGCTCTCTCTCTCTCTCTCTCTCTCTCTCTCTCTCTCTCTCACACACACACACACACACACACACACACACACACACACTCACCTAGTCCCAGTGGGACCCCCACTGTCTCCCAGACACGTGCACCTGGCACACACATGCACGCAGGCACACCCGTCTGCACACATTCCTGGACACATGCACCCATACACGCTCACAGACACCTGCTGCACACACAGCCTCACACTCTGATCGCGCACACCCACGGCACGGCCCCTGGGCTGCACTCCGGGCCTCCGGTGCCCTCCTGCTCGCCCCTTGGCTGGCAGGCGAGTCTGCAAGCTCACCGAACTCCCGTCCTCGGTGTTCGCACTGTGGTTATGAACGCAGGCAGCCTGACTTCGGTTCTTACCCACTTATAAGCTGTGGGACTGTGGGCAAGTTCTGACCCTCTCTGGGCCTCTGTTTCCCCTCCTGTAGAACTGGAACCATGGTCGTACCTTCCTAGGGCATGTGTGGCTTCAGAAAGGCTCCGTCCTGGCGGTCTCTGTTCCTTCTTAGGTCAGGATTACAAGATGTTCACTATGTGACAAATCACTGGACTTAAAAAAAAGAAGGTTCTGCCCGGCCGGTATGGCTCAGTGGATGGAGCATCATGCCAGGGACTGAGAGGTCCTGGTTCGATTTCCGGTCAGGGCACATGCCTGGGTTTCGAGCTGCATTCCCAGTGGGGGGCGTGCAGGAGGCAGTCTATCAATGTTTATCTCTCACATCGATGTTTCTATCTCTCTCTCCCTCCCTGTTTCTCTAAAAATATCAATAAAAATATATTTAATTTTAAAAAAGAAAAGAAAGGTTCTGTACTTACCCACTTAGAACAGTGCCCGGTGCATAATAAGAACTCAGTCAACGTTGGCTGCTGTCTCTTGCCCCTCGTTTCATACCCTTGGCCTCGGCCATAACAAAATCATTAAGTTTCCTCAACATGCCAGCCAGCTACAGGCTGCTGACCGTTCACACTTGGTGTTCCTTCATTTGGGACACCCCTTACCCACTTCTCCCCGCCTCCCACTCTGCCTGGTGTGCTCCTGCTCATCCTTTGAAATTCTACTTAGGGGGCTCTGCCCATGGGGAGCCAGCCTTCTTAGCCCTCCCCAGCAGAACTGATCATTGACTGCTTTGTGTCTCACCCCTGACCTGAATTGTCCCTTCCCCTGGACCGTGTGCGTCTCGAGAACATGGGACCTTGTGAAATACCTCTCCGGTCCTGTCCCCAGCACTGGGCAGGAACCCTAATGCGCATCAGTGGTATGTGAGGGAGTGAAGAGTGCTCTGTCATGAACAAGGTATGAACAAGAAACACTTGTGCAACCGACTATTAAATGTTATGGAAACTGCGTAGCCTGGAGTACTGATGTAAACAATGATAACAGTGAGGATGGCTGGCTCACTGAATGGGAGCTGTGGGCAGGCTCGGAAGTGGGCTTTCTCCTTCCTGTTTTCGGTGGTGCTGCGAGGCTGTGGTGCCGCTGTGTCGATCCCTGGAGACGTGCACGAGGGAAGCCTGGGGGGTGCTCACCGTGGAGGGCGCAGGAGCAAGAAGGAGCAGGTCACTCGACGTACAGGAATGTGCACTGACCTCGAAATCACGGAGCGAACGAGAGAAGTGGGCAGTAAGACTCAGAGCACCAACTGTTTTTGTAAATTACCCCCATGCATATTTTATAAAGACAAACACATTTTAAAGACCTTAGAAAATATATTGGAGTGGATCCCTGGATTGAGGGAGTAAGAAATGGGGGTAGGAATCTGGGGTGAAGAGGATTAAATTAGCACAGAGGAGTAGGACTAACTCAACTCTCTGCATCTGAAGTCCAAACAGAGGGGAAAAAACATCAAATCCATGTATCATCTTCATCTCTTGTACAGGTGAGAAAATGAAACAGTTGTGTAGTCATTCTGTTGTTTAGATGTTGATTTTATGGTGCCCAAACAGCATCGCTGTGGATAGTTTTCCCTAATGCAAAAAAGAGTGTCATTTTCATTGAATGCTCTCTCCCTCTGCCTCTGCTGCTCTCTCTTCCAGCCCTGATTGGACCCTGAACTAGATTCTTCTGAGACCAGGGCAGACCCCACGACCTCTGTGTCCTGTCTGCGAATAAGCGAATGAGTTGAAGAGGGGCACGCAGAAAAAGAACGAGGGAGGAAGGGATGAAGAGGGCTCTCCCAGAACATTCTCTTCCTCTCTCCACCCCTACCCCAGGGTGTGAGTCCTGGGCGGGCGGGGGATCGGCAAAGGGTAGGAACTGGAGAAAACCCTGGGGGGTTTGCTCCCCAGGCAGGAGGCAGCAGCCTAGCACAGGCCCCCCAGCCACAGGCTAGCAGTGCTGGGGAGCCCAGATCCTGCACCACGTGAGCCCCCACTCCAGGAGGGACACCGGGTGGGGCTGGCCCTGTACTAATATCAATAAAGACAGTCACAACCCTTGTGCAAGTTCATTTTGGTCCTCCTCAACTTCCATGACAAGTATGCACACTGAGGATTCTCTCCACTTGACTGGTGAGAAACGGAGGCTCCCAGAGACTGAGTCTCTTTGTTCCTGGGTTCTCAGTAGTGCTGACAACAGCAGACACTTGGAGCGCTCACCCACGCCAGGGCTCCAGCACTCGTACGTCTTAACCCACCGGGTCTGGGGCCGCCTGTGGGCCGCAGACTCACTGCCCCCTCACAAAAAAAAAGGGCCAAACGCAGAGGAGGAGGACTGTCCCAGAGTGTCTCAGGGCAGAGGGCTGTCCCGGAGTAACCCAGTTAACCTGGGAGACCTGGAGAGTGAGGGGAGCTGCTCAGGCCCCAGACTTTCCTCCCCTCACTCCCAGGCCCTGCTGCCGTCTGCCTGGCAGAGCTGGGACCTGAACGCATGGCAAACCAGCCTGTGGAGTGGGGCGGGGGCGGGGGCACCTGGGGAGCCTGGCTCCCTGCCAGCCAAATGGGGGCCCATCGGGAATGAGATCAAGGACACAGCATCAGTCTCTGGCCCACAGCCTCCTCGGGGCCCCTAAGCCTGGGGAGAGGGGAGAAGCCGCCCCCCTCTGCCTTTCCCAGCCAGGACTGAGTGAGCTAATCCCAGAGAGAAGACACATTATTAGTCCTCGAGAATCAGTCCCAGCCTGCTCTGCTGAGTCAGCCAAAAGCAGCCCTTGTTCTGCCAGCTACGTGAGCCCCAGCACGGCCACCGCCACTGCCTCCCTCCCCAGCCCAGGCCCCTGCCTCGCCTCACGTGCCTGTTGACCTGCCCCAGAGCCTCTCCAGGTCAGCAGCCTCAGCCTCCCTCTGTTTACTCTCCTAGCAGCAGACCTGTTTCTCAGCGCCAGCCCATTGACCCCCAAGATAACCATCTCCGCACAGAGAACTGAGCTTCGCCAGGAATGTGGCTCCGGGAAGGAGGGCTTTGGGGGCGTGCGTGGCCCTTCAGCTGCAGAGCAGAGAGCTGTGGTCAGCGCATGTATCCTAGGGGGTCACTGTCAGAAGCGGTACCACTCTGTGTCATCTCCACCATCCTGGTCGTCACCCCTGTCTCCTACCACCCTCCCCATTACTGTGTCCGTCCTCTATCCTGCCACTGTCACTGTGACGACCCCATTATCACCACTACCACCACCCTGAGAGCAAGGCTACCACAAGTTCACCACTGACACCAGCACCCACACCACCATCAGCTCCACTAAGGCAGGCAGATGTCACCAACACCACCAAAATCAGTGCTGTCACTATCCCTGACACCGTCCACTATCATCACTACCAGCACAAAGCATCATGAAAAGCATCTTGACCAACAACCCCTACACTATCCTATACCAACCTCAACATCACTGTCACCACCATCCAAGATCATTCATTTCACCACCCCAAATGTGACCACCGTGACCGGTGTGCCTCAGCCGTCAGAGAATTGGTCCATGGACCAAAGGATTGCAGGTTCCATTCCCAGTTGGGGACATGTACCTGGACTGCAGGTTCGATCCTCAGCCCTGTTCACCCTGGTCAGGGCACATACGGGAGGCAACAGATCAATGTGTCTCTCTCACATCGATGTTCCTCTCTCTCTCACCCCCCCCCCCACTCCCTTCCACTCTCTCTGAAAAGCAATGGAAAAAATATCCTTTGGTGAGGATCAACATAAAAAATAAAATAGGACCATCATTTGCAATACCCTCATCACCAGCACCTTGACCACTATCAGCAATCTCGCCACCACTCACCCCCTCCCCACCGTCACTGCTCCCATCATCACCGCAGCCTTAATCAATACCACCAAACCGACACCACCACCATTTGCATCACTGTCCCCATAACTGAAACCAGTGCCAGTGTTACTATAACCACAGTCAACACCAGGAACATCAACGCCATCACCATCACCACTGCGTGGGTGTCACCAACATCTCCACCACCACAAACACCTCATCACCCCCAACACGGCCACCACCACCGTTTCTCATTTATTAGAATGAAACGTTCATTGTTTTCCTGGGCCTTTTTCTACACCAGGCAAAATGTAAAGAGAACAAGCTCGAGGGAAGCAGAGGCCAAGTTCTTCCAACTCATTGTGCTGACGATGCAATGATATGCCCACTGTCTTCCTGTTAACATCCTCCTCTGAACAGACTTGACTGAGTCACTCAATTCCCCCATTCAGCGATTCACAGAGAGCCAGGCACGCCTGAAAAACACAGGTGTGATTGCAGGAGTCCCCCCTACTGCCTGTGATAGAAAAGTCCAGCTCCCCTCATCACACCTTTTCCCTCCGCACCTCTCCCCAGGCATCCTGGGCCCCCGCAGGTTTGCCTGCGTCTCCAGTGCGGACTTCCTTCCGCGGCCTCCCTGCTTCGGTCCCGCCCCTGTGGACAGAACAGTGTGAGGAAAGGGTGCCCGTCCGAGGGTCAGAGCGCGGAACCCCAGCCTCAATCCCACCGCTAACTCTGGGTGCCCTTAGCAACTCATTTCCTTTTCCCTACCTGTCTCCCCACTTGTAAAAGGATGGCCTTCTGACTCATGTTTTAAACATTTTTTTAGCTGAGACAGATTTGAACCCCTTTTCCAGACGTTCCCTTCAAATGAGAAAACATAGACAGCCAACGCATCTATTGGTTCTCCCAGCAGACTCCCGGCCTCGGGCCCTGGAGGTGCTTCCTGGGCAGGGTGGGGGCTGAAGGGTTAAGCGGTCGGGCTGTGCGAGCAAGTAGCTCAGATGAAAGGCCACCCGCCCGAGAGGACGCCTTGTGGCTGTTGTGGTTGGCAGACCAGGGCAGTGGGACCAGCAAGGTCCCGAAGGAAACCCCCTCCTGGTCTCACCAGAACAAAGTGGTATTTTACAAAAATGCCATTGTTTTGGGGCAAGTCTTTTCCTTTTCAACATAAACCAGGAAGCAGTGCTTCCTTTCCCTGGGTGAGACCGAAGGTCCCCCCACCAGTGGGAGTGGGGGCAAAGGAGCAGAGTTTTTCCTGACTTGAGTGATCTGCCACAAAGCCCCTACCCAGCAGGGCTCCCCAAGGCTGGTGTGTGTGTGTGTGTGTGTGTGTGTGTGTGTGTGTGTGTGTGTGTGTCTGTGATGGGGTAGGAAGAAGAAATAGAGGAGCACCACCTCGTCCAGTCTCTTGCCCCCAACCATGGCCCAGTAGCCTGAGCCAGACTATGAAAGAGGTGTCGCTGCCCACCCCTCTCCCCTCACCCTTGTGCCACCCAGGCTTCCGTCCGTCCTGCCAACGTGCAATCTTCTTCCTGCCTCTGCCTTTGCACCTGCTGTTCCCTCTGCCTGGAGTTCTCTTACCCTTCACAGCTTGCCCTTTCTCTGTTCTAACCTCCGTGAAGCAGTCACTGTTTCTTTTTTTTTTAATTTTTTTTTTCTGTATTGATATTAGAGAAAGAGGAAGGGAGAGGGAGAGAGACAGAAACCTCGATGAGAGAGAACATCGATCGGCTGCCTCCTGCATGCCTCCTACAGGCGATCGGGCCCACAACCCGGGCATGTGCCCTGACCGGGAATCGAACCGGCGACCTCTTGGCGCATGGGTCGCTGCTCAACCACTGAGCCACACCGGTCGGGCTAGTCACTGTTTCATTGCTTGTTCAGTGTCTACCTTTCCTGACACTGTCTGCTCCACGAGAGGAAGGACCAAGAACTTGTCTATCTTGGTGATTACTGCATCCCCAGCACGTAGCACAGGATGACCCATGTGCGTGTGTGTGTGTGTGTGTCCCTCTCACCCCACCCCCACCCCCCACATAAAGAAAACAGGTCACAACCTCTCAGGAGAAGGAGCCACTTCCCTTCTCAAGCTGAAAGAGCAGAGCGTTTCAGACCTTGGAGAGCATCCTGTCCAACCACTCCCTTTTCCTAAAGGGAAAACTGAGTCTTAGCACCTCTGCGCTCAGGCCAGAGGCTCATGGTTGGTCAGCGGAATTGCTGAGCTAGATTCCAGGTGTGCTGACGTCAACGCTGCCAGATATCACCTACTTTCCCAGCTTGGGCACAGGCTGGTGCTAAATCTCTCACTCTTCAGATACAAGACAGTACATTCGCACATCAGGTCTCCTGCGCCCGACCACCTCCTCCGCCTCCCCGAGAACGGACCCCCTGAAGGCCCGAAGGAAGATCCCCCCGCGGCTGAGGTCAAAAGCTCCCCACCAACCACCTCCACACTTTCCCTCCATCACTTTTAGGGAGACGGAGCAAAATCGCTTTCTGGGGCATTCCCATGGGCCCAGGAGGCAGAGTTCCAGCTTTCTGTCCCTTTACACTTCGGTTTTGATGTTTGGACATTTCTGCTTTTGTCTGAACCAGGAAGTCTCCTTCACGTGAATACCTGTGGGCGAATCAATGCAGAAGGACTGTCAGAACACCCTTCGTCGGAGTTGCTGGGCAGGTGAAATGAGACGCTGCCCCAGCACGAGCGGGGGCCCCCCGGGTGCCGGATCCCTCCGAACAGTTAGAAGTGCTGTGCAAACAGGAGACACTGTTACTTTCAAAGCAAAGAGCATCCCTTTTACAACGCGTGCTTAGGCACACTGGGAAAGAAGGCGAAGTCCCTTTCAAGAATGTTTCCTGAGCTTGGCAGTGACTAGGGGGAGGTGAGGCTGGGAAACGTGAGCTTTTTTCTATTTTTCAAAAAATAATGTATACACCCAGGTAGGACAAGTACGCAAAGGAAGTGAAGATGAACAATAAACAGTGTTGACACTAACACCACTTCCCGAAAAGAGAGACCTTCGGAGCGGGAAGGGAGCTTGCTCTGCCTGGTGCCATTCTTCCTGCCTCTGGGTTATCTCCTCTCCCAGGCTGGGGGAAGGACGCAAGCAGATGCATTCTGTGCTTCTAGGTAAGGGCAGATAGGGAACAGATAAAATTCCTCCTAGACGTTAAGATAAGCAGCTATTTTATGGATTTTAACGGCCTGGAGTGGGAAAGAGGGGGA